TGCCACCATGGCAGAGGGACTTGTAGTTTTCAATGGAACATGAGGATCTCAGCCATCAGATAGATGGCCGCTATGGCCCTGACTTTCTCCGCATAATTGCCCTTCCTGAGCAGATGGTGAACACGACTGACTAGGAACTGCTGAGCAACCCGGGATGATCGTGTCTTGACCTTAGCCCCAAGCTTTCCCTCCTTACTTGCCTTCAGCTCTGTAAATGTATAAACGAGTCCTTTCTGCCACCACAGCAGAGGGACTTGTAGTTTTCAATGGAACACGAGTGCGGAGATCACTTCCTCCATTGACACTTCCTCCAGCTCTCTAAGTGAAAGTTTGTACCTTGGTTTGGATACAGTTTGGAGAACTGGTGGAAGAGTCCGCAGGAACCTGGCATTGCAGGTTGATTTGTAAAAAATACATTTTATATAATATAAGTCCATATCAATGTTATGCAGGCTCCTGGTCAACTGCACCAGCTAACCCCACCCAATGACGACAGAGATCAGGTGTGACAGAAAAATTCTTTACTGTTCTGGTATATCATGCTAAAGCTATTCTAAGCACTTCGTTCCAGTACAACAGTCCTACGAAGACAGATTCTTCTAATTGAACACAGACAGACTATAACAATAGGTGGTCAGACCATGGTTTTAGACCTCGTTTACACTAGCTTCAAAATGTGGCTTTTTTTTTTAAAGCTCTCTGAATGCCAATCAAAGGCCCGGTCACTAAATAAAATGGGGGTTACCTTACAGTCCCGTTCACTATATATATATATAGTAAAGTGCTGTGTAAATTGACAGCGCTATATAAGTACCTGTAACAATAATAATCCTGTCTTCTCTGATCCTTCCACAGTCCCCAATTCGTCTCCTAATAGGAGAGAGCCTTGGGGACCAGCTGCACAGGCACAGTTTTGATGTGTATTGCGTTTTTTTTTTTTTTCTTGGGAGAGTGCGTGTGATCAGCACAGGGCCATTCAGCACTGTCCAGACAGAGGATCGGGGGGTCATACAGCCTCATAGGACAATCAGGGGAGAATGGAAACACCTCCTACAAACTTTAACCAGTGCTCTTCTGGACACTGATAGAAGCCGCAAAATTGCTATATAATGATAAAAGGTATTTAGCAGTTTATATTTACTAAAATATTGTATTTCCATGTTCTGTGTACTATGGGAGAGAGGTTATAGTGAATGCAGGGTCCGGGGAATGGATATACTGAATGCAGGGTCAGGGGGGACCGGACGTAGTGAATGCGGGTCCGGGGAGAGCGGACATCGTGAATGCGGGGTCCGGGGAGAGCGAATATAGTGAATGCGGGGTCCGGGGAGAGCGGACATAGTGAATGCGGGGTCCGGGGAGAGCGGACATAGTGAATGCGGGGTCCGGGGAGAGCGGACATAGTGAATGCGGGGTCCGGGGAGAGCGGACATAGTGAATGCGGGGTCCGGGGAGAGCCGGACATAGTGAATGCGGGGTCCGGGGAGAGCGGACATAGTGAATGCGGGGTCCGGGGAGACCGGACATAGTGAATGCGGGGTCCGGGGAGACCGGACATAGTGAATGCAGGGGTCCGGGGAGACCGGATATTGTGAATGCAGGGTCCGGGGAGACCGGATATTGTGAATGCAGGGTCCGGGGAGACCGGATATTGTGAATGCAGGGTCCGGGGAGACCGGATATTGTGAATGCAGGGTCCGGGGAGACCGGATATTGTGAATGCAGGGTCCGGGGAGACCGGATATTGTGAATGCAGGGTCCGGGGAGACCGGATATTGTGAATGCAGGGTCCGGGGAGACCGGATATTGTGAATGCAGGGTCCGGGGAGTGAATGCAGGGTCGGGGAGACCGGATATTGTGAATGCAGGGTCCGGGGGAGAGCGGATATAGTGAATGCAGGGGACCCGGGAGAGCGGATATAGTGAATGCAGGGTCCTGGGAGAGAAGATATAGTGAATGCAAGGTCCTGGGCTCACTAAGTGACAAGAGGAAATGAAATGTGTATGGCTCGCCTTAGCTTCACCATCCTTAGGTTCCAGGAAGTAAAAGCTGGTATCACGATCCATGAGCAAGTAGGAGCTGTCTAACATCAAAAAGGATCAATACGTTAGGAATGGTTGGATAAATTATATCCATATGGGAAGGACAATATACATCTCCTATGCTATAATCCTTTTCAAATTTTGTCCCAGGCCTTCCCCTCCCCTCTTCATAATTTATTTCTTAAAACCTCTTTCCCTATTTCCTAACTTGGTGAACATAAAACCGGCCAAACCAGATCATTAGTACCTCTAAACAAATGAACACCAGCCAAGGATGCATACATAGACCTTTCCTTAGCAGTCTAGTCCTTTAATTTATTTGTTACTTGTTCCTACAAACACATTGTAATCATACCATCCATCATGCTGTGTTAACATTTAGGACCGAAAATTGTTCTCTATGGTTTAGTCAACAATGAGTAATAAAACCAATAAAATCTTTCTAAAAAAAAAATAAAAGTACAAATAATAAGACAAAGGCTTGGTTCACATATATGCATTTTGCGTTTGATGCTTCCTCCAGTGATTTTTGCAGTTTGCTTTGCATTTTTGACATGTTTTTATCATGTTTTGTTCAGCTCCTTTTTTTTTTGGTTCAAATGGAATTTATTCTGTTGCTGGGCAGAATAAAAACGCAAAAACGCAAATTGCAGCAAAAAGGCACTAGCATACATTTCAGCAGCTTCTCCATTGAACTCTTATCATAGCACAAATGCTACTTTTTGCTTTAAAAAAAAGTCCCCGACCCTTTCCAAAAACGCAGCAGCTCAAAAAAAGCCTAGAGGTGAACATGGAAAGGTTTCTTTACAGTAACAGCTGTGAAAATGTGGAATAGACTCCCTCAAGAGTTGGTTCTGGCCAGCTCAATGGATTGCTGTAGGAAAGTCCTGGATTCTTTCTTGGATACACAGAATATAACTGGATATAACATTTATAGGTAAAGTTGATCCAGGGAATATCTGATTGCCTCTCGGGGAATCAGGAAGGAATATTTTCCCTGCAGGAGCAAAATGGATCATGCTTTGCTGGGTTTTTTTTGTCTTCCTCTGGATCAAATGTGGGTGTAGGATTATAACTTTTTTTTTTTTTGTTGAACTGGATGGCTGTTTGTCTTTTTTTCAGCCAGACTAACTATGTAACCATGTTAAATGGACTGTAGTGCGTTTCTGTAAAAAGCGCAAAAAAAAAAACGCATTGGTGTGAACGTAGCTAAAAACTGCAGATTTTCAACTAGTAAAGAAACTACAAAAGAATTTTAAAAAGTAGTTAGTGATGACAGGACAAAGACAGAGGAAACCATGTTAAATGGACTGTAGTGCGTTCCCGCAAAAAGCACTAAAAAAACACATTGGTGTGAAAGCCAAAAACTGCAGATTTTCAACCAGCAAAGAAACAACAAAAGAATAAAAAAAAAAGAAAAAAAAAAAAAAAAAAAAAAAAAAAAAAAAAAAAAAAAAAAAAGTAGTTATTGATGACAAGCCAAAGACAGGAATTCATGGACTGTAGTGCGTTCCTTCAATAAACCAAAAAACACTAAAAAAAACTGCATTGGTGTGAACGGAGCTAAAAACTGCAGATTTTCAATCAGTAAAACAACGACAAAAAGAATAAAAAAAAAAAAGTTATTGGTTACAGGACAAAGACAGAGGAATCCATGGACTGCAGAGCGTTCCTTCAAAAAATCAAAAAACACACACAAAAAAAAAAAAAGACACATTGGTGTGAATGGAGCCAAAAACTGCAGATTTTCAACCAGCAAAGAAACAAAAAAAAAAAAAAAAAAAAAAAAAGGTAGCTATTGATTACAGGACAAAGACAGAGGAAACCATGTTACATGGACTGTAGTGTATTCCTGCAAAAAGCAAAAAAAAACGCATTGATGTGAATGGAGCTAAAAACTGCAGATTTCTAACCAGCAAAGCAACAACAAAAAAATAAAAAAAAAAGTAGTTACTAGTTACAGGACAAAGACAGAGGAATCCATGGACTTTAGTGCGTTCCTTTAAAAAAACCAAAACCAAAAAAAAAAAAACCGCATCGATTTGAACGGAGCTAAAAACTGCAGATTTTTAACCAGCAAAACAATGACAAAAGAATAAAAAAAAATAGTTATTGATTACAGGCCAAAGACAGAGGAATCCATGGACTGTAGTGCATTCCTTCAAAAAAGTAAAAAAAACTAAACAAACGCATTGGTGTGAATGGAGCCAAAAACTGCAGATTTTCAACCAGCATGTTACATGGACTGTAGTGCGTTCCTGCAAAAAGTACAAAAAAAACGCATTGGTGAGAAAAAGACAAAAACTGCAGATTTTCAACCAGTAAACCAACGACAAAAGAATAAATAAAAAGTAGTTATTGATGACAGGACAAAGACAGAGGAGACAATTCCATTCCCACTTTAAGAAAAATAGATGTAAAAGCCGCAAATTTACTTGCCGATTTCAAACTGGCCGATTAAAAAAAAAATGTGATACAAGGGACAGCATTCTGAAAACAAGGTTTTCACATTCAGAAACACGCATGAGATCTAATACTTGTGTGGACCTTTCATATTTAGCCAACTTCATTCCAGATCCTTACATGCTGCTGTCCTGTAAATTTTGAGAAAGGCCATTACCTCCTTCCTGAGAGGGAGGGTCTGCTTGCTGTAGTCACATGATCAGAGTTTTTTTTTTTTTTGTACGCTCCCATTGTTGCAAAAAAAAAAAAGTGACATTTAAATTTCCTGCCAGTTTTAGACAATCATTGGTTGATGTTGACTGAAATAGAACGGTAGATTTTATTTTTTATTATTTATATTTATTCACCTAAAAAAGTTTATTTATATGTGGATTTTTTTTTTTTTGCTTTGGGCAGATCTGATTTATTGCTATGGACTCTTCCACATTAAAAAAAAAAAAGGCAAAATGATTTGACATGTCACAAGATTCGGCGTTTGTGGACCATTCTGGACGTCACTGCGGCTTCGCGCCAGCGTGCGTTCTTTGATGTTTAATCAGACTGGCTCTCTGGGAGTAGGATTTCCCACAATCCGCGCATGAAAACAGCGGCAAACCGGAGTGCGTCCTCTGGTGCTCGGTGAGATAGACTCGTCGGGTGAAACATCTCCCACACTCTGGACAGGAATATGGTTTTTCCCCGGTGTGAGTTCTCTGGTGTCCGATAAGATTGGCTCTTTGGGTGAAGCACCTCCCACACTCAGAACACTTAAATGGTTTCTCTCCCGTATGAATCCTCTTGTGGTTAATGTATGCTGAAATGAGGGAGAAACCTTTCCCGCACTCGGAACACGAATACGGCTTCTCCCCCGTGTGAGTCCGCTGATGCTCAGTAAGACTAGCCCTCCTGGAAAAACATTTCCCACACTCTGCGCATGAGAACGGCGACACCCCAGTGTGAGTTCTTTGATGCACGAGAAGGTTGGCTCTCCGGGTAAAATATTTCCCGCATTCCATACATGAAAATGGCGACAACGCGGGATGAGTCCTCTGGTGTGCAATAAGATGGGACCTCTGGGTAAAACATTTGCCACATTTGGAACAGGAAAACTGAGTCACCCCGGTATGAGTACGCTGATGAAGAACAAGGCTGGTTTTACGGGTAAAACACTTCCCGCACTCCGAACAAGAAAATGGAGACACGCCAGTGTGAGTCCTCTCATGCTCTGTAAGGCTGACTCTGCGGGTGAAACACCTCCCGCACTCAGAACACGAGAACGGCTTCTCCCCCGTGTGCGTTCTTTGGTGCGACGCAAGGTTGCCTATCTGGGTAAAGCACTTCCCGCACTCAGAACACGAGAACGGCTTCTCGGGGTTGTGGATCCGTTCGTGAATGGCAAGAGTTGACTTCTGTTTAAAACGTTTCCCGCACTCAGAACACGGATATGGCCTGTCGTCTGTGTGAGTTCTTTCATGTTCGAAAAGCGAGGATTTCCAAGAAAAGCATTTTCCGCATGCGGAGCAAGAATACTGACCCTCCGCTGTCCGATTTCTCTGATTTAAAGTTGCTTCTGTTCCTCCGGCGCAGAATCTCCTGGATACGGAAAAGGAAAACTTCTCACCCCTTCTACGAGTTTTATGGCGGGTGAGGGGAAGCGAGTGCTTAGAACTCCCACCATTCCTAGAGGGTGCGGGCTGGAGATCTGCGGTGATGGAGTTTTCCTCTGAAGAATCAGATGTGATGCCCTCATCTTCCATCTCATCATCTGTGAAGATAATACAATTATTCCCATCGCATTGTTCATCTGGAGGGAATTAACCCCTTCCCGTCCGGCCCATGTATATAAACAGCCGGACGAGAGCAGTGCAGGGGCATAAACGGCACTCGCATTTACAGCCTGTGTGCGCTACCTGGGAATGCGTGGCACTGAGATCCGGTGCTCAATGTGTCCTCCAGACATAGTGGAACACTGATCGCTGTATGGGACCTCTGTGCGAGGTCCCGATCATGTGATCACTGATTGGCCAATCAGTGATCACATGAACAGTAGTAAGCAAGATGTCACTTCTGACATCATTGCTTACTACTAGTGAAATCTGTGAATGATCACAGAGATCACATGGTACAGGGCTATTCACAACAGCCTTGTACCATGTGACAAGCTGTGACCAATCACAGCTCTCACAGTATTTCTCAATGGCTGCAGCAATGCAGCCAGAGAGAAGGAGAAATGATTGCCTTTACAGCCTTTTTAAAAAAAATCTTTATCACCCCCCACAAGTAGTACAGTGTCACCATGGTGACATTGTACTGCTAGGGTGACAGTATGTTTAAAAAAAAAAAACAACATAAATAATATAAAAAAAAAAATGAAATAAAAATGTAAAAAAGTTTAAAAAATTATCATTTTTGGTTATAAACTAATTTGGGTTTTTTTTTTTTTTACTAAAAAGATAGCTGAATACATTTTGGCCAAGATTTATGAAGAAAGATCATTTATTTGCAAAATGTTATAAGAAAAACACTGTTTTTCAAAATGTTTGGACTTTTTCATTTATATAGCAAAAAAAAAAAAAAATCCCCGTGGTGAATAAATACCACTAAAATAAAGTTTTATCTGTCTCAAAAAAATGCAAAAAAATTCATATGGGTACAGTGTTGCATGACCGCGCAATTGTCATTCAACGTGTGAGAGCGATGAAAGCTGAAAATTGGCCTGGACTGGAAGGGGGGAAAGTGTCCGGACTTGAAGTGGTTAAAAGGAAAAAAAAAAAAAATGGACAGGATGGGTTAAAGGGGAAATACCATGTATTTACAGACCATGGCTGTTGGAAGAGCGGTGAGCAGGGTGCTGTATGGAGCGTCCTGAAAATAGAGCACCCAGCCTCAGTACTCCTCTCTGATGCAAGCAGTGAGCTGACTCTTGGGAGGAGTTACAGTGCCTTGAAAAAGTCTTCCAACCTCTTGAAATTTTCCACATTTTGTCATGTTACAAGCAAATCGTCAATTGCTCAGTAACACAGATTGATAATCAGCCAATCACATGGCAGCAACTCAATGCATTTAGGAATCTAGACGTAACTGATGGGTGTTACCAAGCAATTGAACAGGTGGACCTAATAAAAGTGGCCGGTGAGTGTACATCATAATGGATAGATTGAGGGCAGGTTTGCATGGAGGGAGCCCACCCCTCCTTAACCCCTTGCTTACCGGGCACTTATACCCCCTTCCTGCCCAGGCCAATTTTCAGCTTTCAGCACTGTTGCAGTTTGAATGACAATTACACGGTCATGCAACACTGTATCCATATGAACTTTTATCATTTTTTTCACACAAATAGAGCTTTCTTTTGGTGGTATTTAATTGCTGCTGCGCGTTTTATTTTTTTGAGCTATAAACAAACAAAAAAAAGAGCAAAAAATTATTTTAAAAAAAGTTTTTCTTTGTTTCCATTATAGAATTTTGAAAAAACAGGTAACTTTTCATCTTCACTGATGTGCATTGATGAGGCTGCACTGAGAGGCATCACTGATGGGCAGCACTGATGGGCACTGACAGGCGGCACTGCACACTGATGAGCTGGCACGGATAGGCAGCAATGATGGGCACTGACTGGTGGCACTGCTGGGCACTGATGGGTGGTCCTGCTGGGCAGCACTGATGGGTGGCACTGCTTGACAGAGGTGGGTGGAACTCATGGATGGCACTGCTGGGCACTGATCATCTGTGCGCTGATGATCAGTGCCGATCTGTTTTCTGACAATTGCCAGTTACCGGCAGTACTTTCCTCACGCTGTGACAGATGAGCAAAGTGCAGCCGACAACCGACAACTGCATTTACCCAGTGATCTGCTGTGTCATCGGACACAGCTGATCACATGGTAAAATGCTGCTGTGATTGGCCTTTTATCACATCGCGTGATCAGCTGTGTCCGTGATCACAGAGATTGCCAGCTGCGTGCCGCCGGGGGCGCATGGCAGGGCACATTCTGGGAGGACGTCATATGATGCCCTCCCAGAACTAGACAACCTCTCTGTAGCCATCATTCGGATATAGCCGGTTGTCAAGTGGTTAAAGGCACAGGAGTGAACTGGACACCCAGCATATAGCACAAAGGTGTCCAGTGTCCCCCCCTTCATCTTGCATGACTACCTGCCACAGCATATGAGGTTCGATGCAAAGCCTCTGCTATGGGTTATATATTTTACTCATTTATGGAGTGCTGCTACATTTTCCAGAGTTCCCCAGGAATATTGATCGACTAGGAAGTTGTCAATCTAATGTCTCTGGACCTTCCATACTCCTAGTACACCTAATGTTTGGAAACACTGCTATTAAGAATGTTAAAGGTGGAACCAGGCACAACAAAATGGAACGCACAATGCACATCAGATCTGATTAGATCATTAGAGGTGGGGAAAGGATCTTTGTTGATCCAACCATAGTAGGGTGACCTGGTCAGATTTTCAGTTCTGTACCGATTAGCTTTGTTGGTGTATCTGTGAAAGATGCCGCTCCAACCAAAACCTACGACTATCGAAATCCCTGACTGGACTGACATAAGTTGCCATCTTTATATCAAAATTTCTACTGTAACCAAATATTTTAGGGTGATATAAAGAGGATCTTCATTGGCCTCCCCAAAAAAAATTCAAGGTCAGCAGCTACAAACACTGCAGCTGCTGACTTTTAACCGCTTCCCGGCCGCGCTATAGGCAAAAGATGGCTACAGCGCAGTCGGCTAGTTCTGGGAAGGTATCCATGGGCGTCCTCCCAAAACCCCAGGGACACAGCTGATCACGTGCCTAATTAAAGGGACAATCAGAGCCACTTTTTACCCTGTGACCAGCTGTGTCCAATCACAGCTGATTATAGTGTAAATAGGAAATGCCGGTTATCAGCAGCCAGTAAGTGGCATCGCTCAGGGGAACATCTACACTGGTCATCAGGGCACTGATCATCAATGTCCTCATGATCAGTGTAGCCCCATCAGTGCGGCCAATAGTGCCCATCAGTGCTGCTGGTTATCAGTGCCACATGTCAGTGCCTCCTCATCAGTGCAGCCTATGAGTGCCCATCAGTGCAACCTCATCAGTGCCCATCAGTGCAGCCTATCAGCGCCCATCAGTGCAGCCTCATCAGCGCCCATCAGTGCAGCCTCATCAGCGCACATCAGTGCAGCCTCATCAGCGCACATCAGTGCAGCCTCATCAGCGCACATCAGTGCAGCCTCATCAGCGCACATCAGTGCAGCCTCATCAGCGCACATCAGTGCAGCCTCATCAGCGCACATCAGTGCAGCCTCATCAGCGCACATCAGTGCAGCCTCATCAGCGCACATCAGTGCAGGAAAAAATCCAAATCCATTATTTACAGAGCTTTATAACAGAAACTAAGAAATTTTTCAAAATTTTTTTTTTCTTTATCACAAAATAAAAACCCCAGTGGTGATTAAATACCGCCAAAAGAAAGCTCTATATGTCTCAAAAAAATTATAAAAATTTAGTATGGGTACAGTGTTGCACGACCACACAATTACCATTCAAAGTGCAACATCGCTGAAAACTGGCCTGGGCAGAAAGGGGGTAAAAGTGCCCGGTAGGCAGGGGGTTAATACAAGGGCTCTTACCTGTCCAGGGATCTAGCACTGTCCTCACCGGGACCGTTTCTTCAGGTCCTTGGTGCTGGAAGTCTGCTTCAGTTGGCTTCCTTGCACTGTGATTTGCGAATGGTGCTGCAGCTTTCTAGGACGTGTCCCAGAAAGCTGTGCAGAAAAAAAAACGGGGGCTGAACTTCTGAGGCAATCTGAGCAGAAGCGGGAGAGAGTCCCTGTCAAAACTAGGTACCTGCTGCCCTCAACTAAAATGCATCCAAGGGTGTTAGAGGAGAAAGGGGGAAGGAGGCGGAAAAGCGGAACTTCCCCTATTTAACTTCAACATTACATTATTCTTTTCTCTTGTGTTTAAATGTTTTTACTTACTAGCAGCAGAGAGGTTCACACTTTATACGCACTTTATCTGGTGTATTTAACCAGATATTAGTCTCTCTCACCTGTGCCAACATCTACAAGAACTTCATCCTCTTCAATCTTGACTCGTCTTATTTCCTCTTCTTCAACTTTGACGTTTCCTTGAGTGTCTGTCATGTCTCCGGGGTCTGTGAATAAAGATGAGAGTGAAGCCTCCTGTACTGAGATGTATGAGAGACCCCAAAGAGTGTGTGCGGGGGGAGACTGGTCACGTCTCAATGACATGATGTGAAGAGGAGAGCCGGGGTCTAGTAGAGGCTGATGGCTCCTGACTCCCCCCCCCAGGCACATACTGTCCCCCCATTACTTTCTACTGACAGAGGAGGGGGGAGAAGAAGAGATATTAGTAGTGACTGAACAAGGGGGATCTGGGACTCTTCTCTGGATTTAGTGTTTATTCCTCACCTGGGCTGATCTCTGCAGGGATCTTCTCCTCCTTACATGGCTCATCGCCGGAGTCTAATAGAGGCTCATGGTTCCTGACCCCCACTGGGCACATACTGTCCCCCATTACTGTCTACTGGGTTGGAATTCATTATCCATAGTGGTTTAACAAGGAGATTTATCTTTTTTTCATTTTGTGGCAATTAGTGTTAATTACTCACCTGTGCCGATCTCTACAGGAATTTCCTCTTCTTTGACTATCACATGTATTTCTTCTTCTTCCTCCTCCTCCTCCTCAGCTTTGACGTCTCTCTGAGTAGCTCTGGTGTCTTCGGAGTCTGTGAATAAAAATAAGAGCGAAGCCCCCTGAATTGAGATGCGCACTATACAACCAAATGCCTGTGGATACAGGACCATTACCCCTCTATGAGTGTGTTGGATATCCACTTCCAAAACCATGAACATTATAATTTGGACTTGCCCTTCTTTTATGGCTACAATACCCTCCATTCTTCAGAGAAGGCTCTCACAAGATTTGGGAATATGTGCCCATTTAGCCAAAAGATGTTGAATGAGAAGACCTGTCAGGCAACCGAAATTCCATCCCAAAGGAGTTCAGTAGGGTTTGAGGTCAAGGCTCTGAAGGCCACTCAAGCTTCTCCACACCAAGCTGGACAAACCACGTCTTTATGGAGCTGGCTTGTGCACAGGAGACAGGAAAGGGCCTTCACCAAACTACCACAAGGCTGAAATCGATCTGTCATGGGTTTTTTTTTGAAGGCCACTATTGTTTGAAACATAAACATAATCCTAATATCCCACCAACCATTAAAATGAGCACTAGGAAGCCTCGAAGTTAGTGTTCTTCTGGAATCCACCAAATCATTCATTAGACTGCCGGATACTAAAAAGCATGATTCATCCCTCTAAAGAACATGTTTTCCATAGGTCCAATAGTAGCGTGTTTTACACCACTCCAGCAAACACTTGCCACTGGGCATAAGCTCACCTCTTTGATTAAACCACGGGAACGCGTTAAGGGCATGGCATGGGGGGAACTTGAAACAGGGTCCACTTACATCACAGATCCTGCGTGAAGCTTGCGGTGTGCAGTATCCAGCTGCCTCCACACATATGGGGGATGTCAGGAATCTCCTGGCCAGTAGATGAATGGGGCTGGGATGAGTTATCGGATGTCATGGTGTTTTAGCAACCCATGCTATTGTGCTACTGGGGCTGAACATTGATGGTGCTATGAACACTGACAACATTGCCACCCTTCACCATGCCTCCGATAAATTCATGTACCTAATTCTGACAGGTTGTGAATTTGTTCCAGGAAATATCATTTTTCGTACCAGGGCAGAACAAAATTCTAAGGAGTGTTCTAGACCAGGGGTGTCAAACTGGCGGCCCTCCAGCTGTTGCAAAACTACAAGTCCCATCATGCCTCTGCCTATGGGAGTCATGCTTGTAACTGTCAATCTTGCAGTGCCTCATGGGACTTGCAGTTTGGCAACAGCTGGAGGGCCGCCAGTTTGACACCCATGTCCTAGAGACTCTCTGATTTCCGATGTCTCCCCATTACTGTCTACTGACAGAGGAGGGGGGAGAAGAAGAGATTGTTGTAGTGACTGAACGAGGATCTGGGACTCTTCTCTGGATTTAGTGATTATTCCTCACCTGTGCTGATCTCTGGAGGAAGGTCCTCCTCCTTACACGGATCATCCCCCATCATATACGTCTCTACTTCCTCATCACCATCAATCTGGTTTACATCCGCTGTAACCTACACAAGTATAAGAATGATTTTGTGAATGGCCAAGGGGACAAAAACAGCATTAACGTCTACGAGGCCTGAAGATTGCACAAAACCCCAAAACATGATATATTTTCTGAAAGCAGTCTGTCTCTCAGTGTTACAATATACCGAACATTTGATTTTTAGACTGATCATTTCTTTGTGAGTGTGCAAAGATTCAAAATCAGCAGGGGAGCAAATACGCATTCCCTTCACTGTATGTACTTGTTGGTATGGGAGATAATGACGTTTCGTTATTCTACCTGATTGTTGTGTTGTTCCTGTGTGGAGTCCCGGGAATACAGACACATCCCATCTCCTCCACTTAACCTCCTCCTTTGCACTTGCACAGTGCATACAATCCACCACCCACTCCAACAGTAATATTCTTGATCTCGTCTTCTCCAGCCGCTGCGCTCCCCAAAACCTCACTAACACCCCCTTCCCTCTCTCTGACCACAACCTGATTACCTTCTCTATCTCCTCGTCCTCCAACGCCTACCCCTCCAAATGTCACACTACTACCAGCCGTAACCTCCGCAACCTTAACCCTGCCCCCCTCCACTCTGCAGCTGATCAACTCCACGACAGCATCCTCCCCGTCTTGCCCCAACTTGGCTATGACTGCCTACAACAACGCGCTGTCAACAGCCCTTGACTCACTAGCACCTTTAACCACACGCAACATCAGACCCCGACCGCTCCAGCCCTGGCAGACTGATCACACCAAAACCCTCAAACGACGCAGTCGTGCCCTGGAGCGTTTATGGCGCAAAACCAAATCCCAACAAGCCTTCACCCGCTACAAATCTGCCTTCCACAGCTACACCTCCTCCCTCCACGCAGCCAAACAAGCCTACTTCCTGACCCTCATCAAGGCCCTCTCCACCAATCCTCGCCGACTCTTCTCCACCTTCAACTCTCTACTCTCGCCACCCCCACCTCCACCCAGCACCTCATTCACTGCCCTTGAGACTGCCAATCACTTCAAAAACAAGATTGACACAATTCGCAAGGACATCGCCGCAACTCACACGCCCTCTCAACCCGTCCCCTCTCACACAGCTACCCCCTCATCCCCCCTCTCCCTCGACATAACCCGCAGGGACTTCGTCGCTGCTGAAACTCCCTCCAACCCCGTTCCCCCTCACTCAACTACCCCCTCATCACCCCTCTCCCATGGCCCCACCACTGCTCTGACCTCCACTTCCACCCCACCCTACATTCCTCATACTGAAGCCCCCCCAACACTCCGCACCTTTGACCTTACTACCATCGAGGAAGTCTCCAAGATCCTCTCTGATGCCCGCCTCACCACCTGCCCCCTTGACCCTATCCCCTCACAACTCCTACGACCTCCCTCCCCCTCCATCCTACGCTCCCTCACCCACATCTTTAATCTCTCCCTCTCCTCCGGCACTTTCCCCTCCCCTCTGAAACATGCACACATCACCCCCATACTTAAAAAGCCCTCCCTGGACCCCAATGACCCGAACAACCTCAGACCCATCTCCCTGCTCCCATTTACATCTAAACTCCTCGAGCGCCTAGTCTACACCCGCCTATGCTCTCACCTCAACGACAACAACCTCCTCGATGCCCTACAGTCCGGCTTCCGTCCCCTACACTCCACCGAAACTGCCTTACTCAAACTCTCCAACGACCTGCTAACCGCCAAAGCTAATGGCCTTCGACACAGTCGACCACCCCCTCCTCCTCAAAAAAACTACACTCCCTCGGCCTCAGAGATTCTGCTCTCTCCTGGCTCTCATCCTACCTGTCACAACGCTCTTTCAGCGTTACCTATAATGCTACCACCTCCCTCTCACTCCCCCTCTCTGTTGGGGTCCCTCAAGGCTCTGTCCTTGGGCCCCTTCTCTTCTCCATCTACACCTCCTCCCTTGGCCAACTCATACACTCTCACGGCTTCAACTACCACCTCTATGCCGGCGACACACAAATCTATCTGTCAACCCCCCACCTCACCCCCTCGGTCTCCGCCTGAATCGCACACCTACTAAGCGACATATCAGACTGGATGTCGCTCCACTTCCTTAAACTGAACCTCTCCAAAACAGAGTTTCTTGTCTTCCCCCCAGCCCGCACACCACCCCCCATTGACTTCTCCATCACGTCCAACAACGCCACCATCAAACCCGCCCCGCAGGCCAGAGTACTTGGTGTCATTCTGGACTCCAACCTATCCTTCCAGCCCCAAGTCCAATCTTTAACAAACTCGTGCAGACTCCACCTCTGCAACATCGCCAAAATACGCACGTTCCTAACTCCAGAAACCACTAAACAGCTCATCCACTCCCTCATCATATCACGACTCAACTACTGCAACTCTCTCATCACTGGCCTGCCTCGCCGCTGGCTATCCCCGCTTCAGCTGATCCTGAATATGGCTGCCAGACTCATTCACCTTTCCAACCACTCCATCTCCGCCACCCCCCTCTGCCAATCCCTCCACTGGCTTTCCGATTGCGCAACGGATCAAATTCAAAATCCTATCACTGACGTACAAAGCTGTCCACCATACTGCCCCATACTACATCACTGACCTAATATCCAAGTACCGCCCAGCACGCACACTCCGCTCCTCACAAAACCTCCTCTCTAGTTCCCTGGTCTCCTCCTCCTATGCCCGCCTCCAGGACTTCTCCAGGGTGTCACCTATCCTCTGGAACTCCCTGCCCCAACCCATCAGATTATTACCTACTCTCCTCTCCTTTAGGCGCACCCTGAAAACCCACCTCTTCAGGGAAGCCTACCCCGCCCCCTGCTAACCTGCCGACCTCCTCCACTCTTCCTACCACTCCATCCCCCACAGCTATCTCCTCCTGTACCACTATCCCCTCCCTCCTAGATTGTAAGCTCGAAAGAGCAGGGCCCTCAATCCCCTCATGTTTTGCATTGTATTGGTATTGTTCTGTCATATGTTCTGTCCCCCTTTGTAATGTACAGCGCTGAGTGAACTATTGGCGCTTTATAAATACTGTATTATAATAATAATAATAATAATAATAATACAGAGGACGGGGACATCTCTCTGGTGGGTTCCCGTTACTGGATCCATCTACCTGATACTCCTGAGGGATCTCCTGATGTTCCTGTGTGGAGTCCCGGGAATACAGAAGATGGGGACATCTCTCTGGTGGGTTCCCATTACTGGATCCATCTGTAGGAAACACACACACTGACTGAATACATTGTTTCTTTGTCTTTATATCAGAGGATGTGTGTATCTAGGTGGATCCTCAATACAAGAAATGAAAGTCTGCTCTTAACCCGGTGATGTGAGGGGCGGCCGGATCTCCATCATGACGTCCTTGTGTCCTTCTATATACTCCCACTCCTCCATGAAGAAATAGACAGTGACATCCTGACACCTTATAGGAACCTGACACACACAATGATACAGTCACCATCCAGACACATCCCTTGTCTGTTACTGGAGAATGTCCCAGAATTCCCGGCACCGCTCACCTCTCCTGTCAGCAGCTCATGAAAGTGCCGCCATCTAATCTAGAACATCAAGTGTACTAAAATGTACAGCCATTAAATGTGCTTAACCTCTCCAGGCCAGTCTCAGTTTTATACAAGAGTGATGTCATGTGACCTCCCAGAATCCTCCTCACCTCTGCGGTCAGGTCTGTTTTATTAATAGAGATGAGAGTGACGTCATGTGACCTCCCAGAATCCTCCTCACCTCTCTGGTCAGGTCTGTTTTATTAATAGAGATGAGAGTGACGTCATGTGACTTCCCAGAATCCTCCTCACCTCTCCGCTCAGGTCCGCATTTATTAATAGATAAGAGTGATGTCATGTGACCTCCCAGAATCCTCCTCACCTCTTATGTCCCAAGGGTGTGGTCTAATACCCTCTCAGTCATGTGGCTCCGCTCCTTCGCAGTTCTTGGTCAGGTCTTCTATACAGAGGTCTCTCCTTGAAAACTGGCTGCAATTAATCTGTATGAGATGTCCCAAAAAATGTGAAATTAGAAGCAATGATTATGAGAACAAAGCCTCTTGCATAGAGCTGCCTGGGACCATAGAATGTAAAATGTCCTAGCCTGGGAGCCGGAGAGACTGCATACGTGCCCCTGGAATCTTCAGCTGCCATTCGCTGCAGCACAAGCCGATCAGCGGGTCCTGGCCAATGGCTTGGACCTGCTGATCAGCAGAGCGAATGACAGAAGAGAGCTCTATGTTGGTAAACAACACAGAGCTCTCTACAGACAGCAGCAACATGCTGTTTTTTTTTCTCCCTGTAAAGCAGGGAGAAAAAAAACAGCACCTTGCTTAATAAAATCAGCACACATAGTTAGGCACACAGATAACCCTTTGATTGCCCCTAAATGTTAACTCCTTCCCAGCCAGTGTAATTAGTACAGTGTATAGTAACAGCACTGATCACTGTTTTAATATCACTGGTGATGGCAGTGGCAGTTAGTCAGTTCCCCCCCCCCCAAGCATCAGTTATTGTCAGATGACCCGCTGCACTATCACAGCCCCACTGTAAGTCGCTGATCGCTGCCATTAGTAGTGTAAAATAAAATGAATAAATAAAAATTCCAGTATATATTATCGTTTGTAGACGCTATATTGTTCATGCAACCCAATCAATATACAACTATTGGGATTTTTTTTTTGTACCAAAGACATGTAGCAGAATACATTTTGAGCAAAATTTATGAAATTTTTTTTTTCAATCTTTTTTAAATTGGATATGTTTTATAGCAGAAAGTAGAAAATATTGGGGGGGTTTTTTTTCAACATTTTTGGTCTTTTTTTTTTTTCATTTATATCGCAAAAAATAAAAAACCTACCGGTGATCAAACACCACCAACAGAAAGATCTATTTTTGTTGAAAAAATTATATAAATTCAATTTGGGTATAGCATTACAGGACAGTGCAATTGCCTGTTAAAGTAGTGCAGTGCTGAATAGAAAAAACGGCTTAGTCATGAAGGGGGGGGTGGTAAAACCTTCTGGAGCTGAAGTGGTTAAAGAGGTACTGTCCAGTGTCTGCCATAAAGCCGTCACCCTAGCAAGACACACCCTCCCCCTCCACATTCCCTTGATGCCTCCCCACTTCATCAGAATCCTCGTTCTCTAACTCTAATAGGTGACCTTATGCATGTCAGATCCCCCCATGTGACAGCTCTTGGGCCCGAGCAGCCAATAAAAAGGTCTGAACACTAGCATGTGATGAGCAGGGGATCAGTGATGTCACCTCAACGGTAAGCTCTACCGCCAGTGCGTACACTGAGTGTTCTCCAGTACAAGGGGAGGTGGTGAAGGATTGTGGAGGGATAAGTATACCTTACTGAGATTTTCACATTTTCAATATGAATAAAATAACAGTTTTATTGTGTTTATTATATTTATGTTCAATATATTTTAATATATTTATTTTATAACATTTTTACATTTATTTTCAATATAATTTTATATATTTATTATTTTTTATTTTTTTTTTTCTCCAATATGTTTTAATATATTTATTTTATTATGTTTATTATATTTATTTTCAATATAATTTTATAGATTTATATTATGTTTTTAATTATTTTTTTTCCTCCAATATATTTTAATAGATTTATTTTATTATGTTATTATATTCATTTTCAACATTGTTTGCTACAATTATTTTTATGTTTATTATATTTATTTTCAATATATTTTAATAGATTTATTTTATTCTGTTTTAAATATATTTTCTTCAAAAATATTTAAATTTTTTTTCATTAGGTTTATCATATTTTTATCATATTAGGTTTATCATATTTCAATTTGATATATTTATTGTATTATATTATTAGGTTTATTTTCAAAATAATTTTATGTTAATTTTCTGTTTTAAATATATATTTTTTTCATTATGTTTATCATATTCATTTTCAATTTGATCTGATATATTTATTGCATTATATTTATTATGTTTATTTTCAGAATAATTTTATATGTTAATTTTCTTATGTTTGAAATATATTTTTTTCAAAAAAAGTTATTTATTTTTTTCATTATGTTTATTATATTCATTTTCAATTTGATATATTTATTGTATTATATTTATTATGTTTATTTTCAAAATAATTTTATATGTTTATTTTCTTATGTTTTAAATATATTTTTTCCAAAATATTTTAATTATGTTTTTTTCATTATGTTTATCATATTCATTTTCAATTTGATTTGATATATTTATTGTATTATATTATGTTTATTTTCAAAATAGAGGCGTTAATGCTTACACAGGCGTGTGTCTACCTACCGGCATACAGTCATTCACATCTATGGGCGGCTGTACGCAGACCCTGGACCTCCCCGGCACGGAACAAAGTCAGAATTTTACGCTCTACACCCCTAATGTGCACTTACCGTCCACCGTACGAATGACTGCCTTCTCCGTACACCCCACCGCGGCTGAGGGACACCACCAACTGCCATTTATCAGCAGCTAGCAGAAGAACGGTCATAAACCTCCCCCCCTCCCCCATCGTCACATCTATCTCTACAGAGACCCCAATACAGCAAAGCAGACTGACTCCCCCCCAGTGCTGAGCACAGACTATGGAGGACACGTGACCTGACCCACTATGTCACATGACCTTCAGTCAACACACACACAGTGCTGAGACCCCCTGCCTGCTCTGATAATAATAGGACACTATTACCTCCTCCTCACTGGGCACACACTACAACCTCCCGAATAGACTAGGAGCCTCAATGAGCCTTGGAAACTCCTTCCTCCACCTCTTCCGGGCTACAACAAAATGGCCGCGGCCTCGCCTGCTCTGAGGACACTTTCCTGCCTACACAGACTGACGCCCTCTGGCGGTGGGAGGAATACTGACATTTTTATGAGTATAGGTTGTGGCTATTTCATTATGATCCAGAAGAAGTTTAAAGAGAAATGCTTATAGATCAGTCCCTGGAGGAGGGGCAATGTCTTCCGGTTATGAGAACAGGTGGGGGTCCCAAAACTCTCTGTCTGGACTGGATGGAGGGGGTCATGCGACCTTCTGGGTTAGCACACAGTCGGTTGTGCACTGGCAGAATCAGTATTATATATATATATATATATATATATATATATATATATATATATATATATAAGTATTTATTTCAAATACATTTTAATTGATTAATTTTACTATGTTTATTATATTAATTTTCCATATCATTTATTATGTATCTTATATTTATTTTCAATATAATTTGTAATATATATGTTAATGATATGTTTTAACTTTTTTTATTATTTTCTACATTTATTGTTTTGATGTTTTTTTACATTTCTTTTCAATATATTTTAATAGATTTATTTTATTATGATTATTATATCCATTTGCAATATAATTTAATATGTACCTTATTATATTTATTTTCAAAATCGTTTTTATATATTCTGTTTTAACTATATATTTTTTCCAATTAGATTTATTTTATTGTGTTTATTATATTCATTTTAATTATGATTAAAATAATTATTTTATTGTGTTTATTATATTTATTTTCAATATTTATTATTTATTTATTTCAGGTACTTATATAGCGCCGTCAATTTACGCACTTTACATATATATTGTACATTCACTTCAGACCCTAACCCTCAAGGGGTGTACAATCTAAGGTCCCTATCTTAAATTCATACATACACATACTAGGGCCAATTTAGACAGGATCCAATGAACCTACCAGCATGTCTTTGGAGTGTGGGAGGAAACCGGAGTACCTGCAGGAAACCCCACGCAGGCACAGGGAGAATATGCAAATTCCAGGCAGGTGGTGCTGTGGCAATATATTTTCTTACATTTAATCTATTATGTTTATTACATTTATTTTCAATATAATATTATATATTTATTTTATTATACTTTAATTGTTTTTTTCTTTGATATATTTTAATATAATACATACCTGTAATGCACAGTGATCTGGACGGTACTCTGAGTAGACCTGTAATGCACAGTGCTCTGAATGGGCTGATGAAAATGGAATTGATTTTCTTCATAGTTTTCTTTGGTTGATGAAAATTTGGGGTTGTTTTCGTTTTGTATTCCTCACTGGAAATATGCAGCTGACAAAAATTATGCCAAAAACTAACACTGGTTTACACCCACCTACCTCCAGTCCCATCCGATCCGCTAAAAAGAAACAAAAGGGATCCATCCCCCTCTATCTAGGCGGGTGTTTTTTGCGGCCTAAATGTATTCTGCTCCATGTCTTTGCTAAAAAGAAATCCCAATACATGTAAATTAACTGGTTTACGTGAAAGTTATAGCGTCTACAAATGGTGGTATAGATACTGGAAATT